GGGCTTCAATAGCAGCCGGGTTCACGAAGCGAAGATGCCTCAAGAAAGCATTTAACATTATTCGAGTCTTTCGAAGAAAATTTTATACATTTTGTATTTCAACGTTAATTTCAGCAAGTCGCTGGGGAATGTCGAGAATTTGAGCAGGGAGGGCCATGGCTTCTCGATATACACTGGTAGAAAATTTCTGTTTTTTGTTTTTTTTTGTAGAGCACGAAGGCTTATCGAGCCTCTTTTTATAGAGTGTATAGCAATTCTGCCAATGCAGTACGAATTGCATGGCTGGCACAATATGAGTACTATAACCACGCTGCCTGTATGAAAAAACAAACTTTGCAGAACCCTTTCACCTAATCGATCGTGGTGAAGTCAGCAATGGATTCGGCGGATCATACACCTTACGCTAGGATTTGGGAAGGACATTTACGAGACTGAGGTGAGTTTTAAGAGAAAGACGGGGGTGGATTTTTTTGCTCTAACTGGCTGTGAGCATGGGAATTGCGTTGCCGAGCAGAGGGCGGAGAGGAATTTGGTGTTGCAGGTTTGATGACTGTGAGAGGGGTTGAAAATTTATTGGTTTTTTTTAGCAGGTATATTGGTATGAATGAACATATTATAGATTATAGAATGTAGAAGAGCCATACGGCACGAGCAGTTGAGTACAGTACTATCATGCCTTTGTTTTGTTGTGTGAAGAAAGTAAAAAACTTGCGAAGCACGCACCTCAATCACCCTGCCTGTGTGAATTGAACGAACTTAAAAGTACAACCAGCTTAAGCTGGTTTTCCACCTATTTTTTAGTGTTCGGCCATTTCTAGCAAAGTCTAAAGGACATATTCGTTGCCGATTTGGGGTTCTGATGGAAGATACTGCTGAGGTTATACACCAAGTACACACGTGATTCTGCTCTGGCAGAAGTGCACGCGCAATTCAGCTCTGGAAAAACTCCCTGAGATCCAGAGAGAGATGAAGTTTATAGTCAACCTCTGCCTCTCAGATAGCTCTCGTTTTGTTGCAAAGCTGCACCTTTTGTTGAAGATTTGTTCTTTCCTCTATGGTATTCGTAGCTGGTATGTGTTAGAAACGATTAGACTAATTTGAAGCTGCTAAAATGTGTTTATGCGATTGAAGGGTTGGATCTCTTTCCCATGCAAGACATCAAAAATTATTTCTTGAAATATTTTTGAATTTTGATGTTGAATCGTGATTTGAATTTGCTTTACCTATACGAAAACCTGGAAAGTGGTGGTATTACATGGTTTGGTTCTAAGGGGTATAATTGAATTCTCTTCGTCTGAAAATAGTATTTTGTAAATAGGGTAAAAACCAAACTTTTTTTTAAAATAAAAATTGCTTTGAATCGTTCAAATCCTAGATGTCCTCCCCTTCACATTGTGTGTGTGTGTGCTTTTTTTTTTTTTGGTTGGTTGTCACAACATGGTATTAGCTTAAGCCTTTATTTTCTAGAGAATGTTTGGTAATGTTAGAAGAAATTCTTGACAATAACTTCGTTTTAGGAATTGCCCTTTTTTAATGAGGAAAGATATCATAGGAGTTGTTGGATGATAAACAATTAAGTATACTAACGTAGACATACTTGCATAGAATATGGAGACCAATTAATTAGAAACGTAGAAACAGGAATTTCCTTGTAAGGTTGCTTATTGACTTGCAATAAATTTTAGGGTATTATCATTTTTATCCCGCGTTAGAAATTATTTGTATTTGGTAGCTGGAAAAGTGTATAAAATTTATATATAACATACACACACACACAAAAATTATTATATATCTACCAACATATATTTTTTTCGGCTATTATTTTAAGAGCGATTATACAGTGTAATTTTCCCTTAATTTTGACATCTATCTAATTTGACAATAAACCAAGCATGGCTTGGCTTTTACACATCTTAATTATCCCTCAATTTTTAATGATTCTTTTATAGTTTTGCTTACTCCTACAATGTGTTATGACTAGACACGATGGGTAATCATGTCATAAATTACTCAAAATGACTTGTACATTTCATTGACAATCTAAACCACCCCCCC